AGATAATTCTGTTTCACGATTTCATGATTGGTATAGCGCTACCTTGATCCCTAAGCTACCGCTCGTATATCATTTATTTGATAAAGATTCATATTATTGGTTCTTTCGGTAAAGTCACGTATAAGGGAAACAATAAAATAATAAACAAAAAAATTCTCACGACGTTTCGACTGCAACACAAGCAATCGTCATCAGGTGTGAAAACCACAGCAAGAAATTTTGAAAAAAGTAGCGTTTTTTTTTACGTTAGCACCACGGACAGCGATTTTGGCAGTTGTTATATGGACGAGGAAGACAATGGAATGCGGTCTGAAAGTCACCGTAAGCGTGAACACAATCAATTAAGACCCGAAATGGTTTATCAAATCCTTCCAACGATTGCTAAGCCAGAATCCATCTTCTCAAAATTTGATGAAGATTGTCCGCAAATAGTGGTCAATTTAGAGGCCAACCAATCATGAAAGCAGGCTGCGTTTAAAAATACAGAGGTTACATCATTGACAAAAATAAACACGCGCTTTGAACAACATGTATTTTAATGATGAATGAATGCCAAAACAGAAGACCTGTTTTTCAGTTAATATAATTGTGAAATAATGAACCATCGTATTTGATGCATTACAGGCACTGTAACAAGCGATGGGAGATGAAGGACATAAAAAAACGAGAGGTGAATTAAACGGAGCAGTAGGCTGCACAGTTGTGCTGGTTATGAATCAGGGTTAATATACAGGTCACGTGTGACAAGTTCGCTGAACAAGAGGTAAACAAATGTGGAAGGGACACGAGTGTAGGAAGCAAGAGAGTATGAATATCTTTGACAAATTATCAGATAAAGAGGTGAGTCAGAGCAGGATAAGAGTGCTTTTTCGTTGTTTAAAATATTCATTTACCAATGAGAAGCATCACACCAATGTACCCACAGAAGATGTATGTGTTGTTGTTGTTTTTTTATCAGTGCATATTGCCTGCTTTGATGCGGGTTGGGATACGAGACAAAAAAAAAACACGTGGAATACATTTTTAAAAGATGAAATGTTACACGATGGAGCTTGGAAAGCAATTCCGGGGCACCGTACTGTGTGAAGGCGAGGAACATGTGAATTCGAGAACAAATGCCAATTAGAGATTGTTAATTCACGTAAAAGACAATGGGATTTTTTTATATACAAAAAAATCTGGAATCTAGTCACATTAGCTAAAAATATAAAATTGTTATATCAACTAGCAGAAAACCCATTGCTCTGGAATGTAAATAAGACACGGCTGTACACTTCCATGCTCTTCTCATTATCTCGTACTTGGAGCACTACAAGTTATTTGCTTTTTTACATAATAAAATGCCAATATAATACGTCTTCTGTATTCATAATTCCCACCTCTTAGGTGTCGCTATCCATTCCAGCATGTCTTCCTCACTTCATATGCCGTTTTAATTCAACTCAACTCAATGTTTATTTGTTCCACGGAAGATCCCGTGTAGCCAGTTACCCAGCTATAGTTTCGGTGGCAACGGCCAGCAGCCACTAGCAACTGAGTTATCGTTGGCGTGAAGAGGAGCCTAGCCAGCAGCCAGCCACGAAACTCGAGGCCTGGATTATTTGTAATAGTAGTGTGACATTTTCGTGGCATCATTGGTGGCCGGGCTGAGACTGGTTTCACCACGGGCGTCTGCAATCTGGTTTCACACCCAGGATCTCAGCAGTACTGGCTCAGATCTGACCTCTGCTGCGCCACTCGGCCATCCCACTGCAGTTAGGTTTTAAATATTTTATAAGTGGCAAACATCGCCCAACGCAAACAAACGACCACCAGCCAACAGCCCAGATATATAGCTGTAGGGCTCTCTATCATTAGATTATAAGTTAAGATCTCGGTCAAGGTCAGCTCATAGGATCATCCGTTGAGGGTTCGTAAAATAAACACCACGTAGTGGAACTGTACCATTTCGTGGGATTAATTGGGTCTTGCCGCATGCAATGTTGAATTTCCACCGCCGCACGTGGCGAGCAACAACCGATGCTCATTTGAGCACAATGATGCTTACTTTAACTTGAGCGAAACAAATACGCAGCATCTCAGATAGTGAACTACGTCGGGATGCTGCCGTGGTGTAAGCAGTTCGCGGACTGGACAAGTGGTCCGGAGGTCGCCGGTTTCGATTCCATCCGCGGTTGAAACAACGGGGGACAAGATTCTGACAAATCGCCTGATGAAGCCGGTTGTAATCACCAGCAAAACGTCGTACTCGAATTGCAAATGTCGTGGGTTTACTCTCCGACACGGCAGTGTGCTGAAGATGTAACTAACTGGCGCGTTTTTGCTTACGTGACAAGCCTTACTAAATGGCCGTGCCGGCTGGTGGGTTAACGACACATTTATATTTAAGGGATCTAACCTAACCAAAAACATTGTTACGGGCAAGATTCTCGAACCCCTCCGCCCTTCCTCCTCCACCCACTGCCTCTGTCCATCCGGCACTATCAACGAGTAGATCTGCAGATCGCACGTGATGGGGTAAAGTGTGTGGGTTACTTCCAAGATGCCTGGGCCAGTGTAGAAATCGAGGCCAAATTACCGTCGAGAGCAAGGTCCTCTCGAGCTCCCCTTAGTGGAGGCTCTTCCGCCAGCAGTGGCGTGAGGGGGCAATTGCAGCGCTGCGCCTATACCTTATTCACGTTTTAATACGTAATATACAGAACCATCTAGTTCCGATTATAGTCAACGTACAGCTGCCCACCTTACCCACTGCTTTGCTCTATTCGAATTTAAATTAGCAGTGTGACAGTGGAGGTCACTTTATTTACTTAACAAATTCATCAACTTCCATGGCCAGAGTAATCCAAGACTAATTCCCCATTAGGGGCCATCCTATAAATGACGTCACGCACCTAGGGGGGGCGGGGGGGGGGGGTCAGACATTTGTGACGATGTGTGACGAGGGGGCGGAGGGGGAGTTTGAGAAATGTGACGTCACGTCAAAATGCGCAACTTTAAATAAATATAGAATTGTTATAACAACATCAGAGTGCAGCGCCACATTAAATACGCACTACAATGACAATAGCGATTTGAAGCATGTTTTATTTTCAAAATGGAAATATGGTTTTGGGGGGGGGAGGGGGGCAGAGCTTTGTGACGTCATACTTGAGGGGGGGGTCTGACTTTTTGTGACGCCGTGTGACAAGGGGGAGGGGGTCAACAAAAATCGTCCAAAATCGCGTGACGTCATTTATGGACGGCCCCTTAAACCCAAATTAATGTCGATCCTTTGACATGGCACACTCGGCAAACAGCAACGATCGACGCAAATTAACCAAACATCTCAATGCGGGAGGTCCTCTTTAAAGAACGTCCCGAGTTTCTCCGACAAAAATGCAGTACAAGTATACAGCAGTTGCTTAATACAACAACATTAACACTATATAATCTTAGTTCTTTCGGTAAAGTCACGTTGAAGGGAAACAACAAAATAATAAAATATATATAATTATTTTGTTGTTTCCCTTCAACGTGACTTTACCGAAAGAACTAAGAATATGAATTACTGCAGTCACGAAAGCTTTAAATCAACATTAACACTGCATGAGATAAGGGACAGTTGAGAGACACAGAGAGAGATACAAAGTCGAAGATCCCCCCATATAGCCTACACGGGCCAAGTGCTCTTAGAACCTTTGAAGACCGTGTGCGGCGTCGTAGGCACCACCCCCGGCCGCCTTTGTCTCCCCAACACTCGCGTTGATACACAGAGCAGCGGGTACTTAGGCGAGGCCCAAAACCGGTTCAATAATCGCCACCGATGTTAGCCGTGGCCGGCAATCGAACCCGGGCTGCCGGGTCCATTAACGTAGCAGCGTCAACCACCGCGCTACCGCTCCTCAACAGCTTGGTGAGGTTATGGGTTCAGGGGGAATCTCCCGTTTTTTGTGTCGCTCAAATTGCATTGCATTGTGATAGTGAGGAAGGAAGCTCCCAGCTGTGAGAAGGAATGTTAACTGCGGAGAGAGACACAAAATCTGCCATGGATCCTCGACAGACTGTTGGGGCAGGTGCTGTTAGGTGGGCTGTAATGAGGGGCGGAACAGCGCACAAGGCGATGCACAGAGACAAATATCTCCCGTGGAGCCTTAGCAGACTGTTGATGCAAGCCTTGGCAGCGAGTAGCCTCTGAAGGCAGGTACGGCACACAAGGGCTGGTTTGGCCAACATGATTTAGACGCCGCATGAGGCACTCATTTAAGGCTGAGTCGACCTGGGAGAGGTCAAGGAACCGGTTCAGATAATCGTCAACGGTGTTGGCCGTGAGCGGGAATGGAACCCGCGGTCGCCGGCTTCGTAGCGCAGCGCGCTAACCCGCTACACTACCGCTCCCCACCAAAAGACGGAGACACACACACACAGAGACACACACAGAGACACACACACAGAGACACACACACACAGAGACACACACAGAGACACACACACACAGACACACACACACAGAGACACACACAGAGACACACAGAGACAAACCCACACACAGACGCACACACAGAGACACACACACACAGAGACACACACACAGAGACACACAGAGACACACAGAGACACACAGAGACAACCCCACACACAGACGCACACACAGAGACGCACACACAGAGACACACACACACAGAGACACACACACAGAGACACACAGAGACACACAGAGACACACAGAGACAAACCCACACACAGACGCACACACAGAGACGCACACACAGAGACGCACACACAGAGACGCACACACAGAGACACACACACAGAGACACACACACAGAGACACACACACAGACACACACAGAGACACACACACAGACACACACACACAGACACACATAGACAGACACACACACACACAGAGACACACACACACAGAGAGACACACACAGAGACACACACACACACACAGACACACACACAGAGACACACACACAGACAGAGAGAGAGAGATGGAGCGCGAGCGCTTCACCTACCAGCAGCACAGGCAGGCCGGCAGTCAGCGAGTAGATGAGTGCGGGCGGGATCTTGCTGTGCTCCTCGGGGCCCGGGTAGGGCTTGCTGAGCTCGGGCGCGAAGCAGAAGAAGCCTTGCACGTGCACGGGGAAGGTGTCCGTGAACTCAAAGTAGTACGCCAGCATCACCACCCCGGCCATGATGACGAGCTGGAAATAGAGCATCGCCGGTCCGTGAGCGCGTGACCAAGGACAGCACCACGACGACGATGAGCAACGGAGGCGTGAGACAGACATCGACTGCCTCCCGGCAGCCGACCCTCAGCCCCCCCCCTTCTCTGTGCACACCGCCCCCTCCCGCACCACCACCACCACCACCACAGCCGCTGCCTCTGCCGCCCTCTCACAGCCGACCGAACTCTCCGCCCTGGACCCTCGCGATGAGATGGCTTCGCGGCCGCCAGCCGAGCCTGCTCCACCGTGGTGCCTCGAATGGTGACGCTCGCGAGGAGCGAGACGCAGAGACAGGAGGAGGGGGCGGGGGGGGGTGGTGGTGGATGAGCTGGGTAGGCGGCTGAAGCATTGCTCCACACATTCCACCTCGTTACTCTCACTTCCATGCACGCGAGCTCTCGGATTTATTAATTTTTTCGCTCCCTAAATGGCCTGGATTTATGCGAAATTAAATAAATATTGTATTCACTTACACGCGGTTTCTGCTCCGAGCTAAACAGCTGACTTCTCCGGGAAAGAATTGGCTCGAAGCAAAGGCCACTGTCATTTTTGTATGGTATAAAAATATATAACGATAATGTTCACATTTCGGATTCTTTTATATATAAAAAAAAATTGGGTCGACTCGTACAGCCGCACACGCCGACTCTGTTGAGCGCGCTGATCCATCAACCCTGGCGAAAAAAAAATATTTGTTGACAGGGAACGGTAAATAAGAAACAATACCAGCGTGAATGAAATTCGGTGGAAAAAAATACATTTGGAGGATGCAAATTAGATCGCTTTGGCACGGGATTATAAGCCAGTGAACTGGTAGTTGATGAAATGGGAACGCTGCATAAGAACATCCCTTCACCCACTGAATGGCAACCATCCAATGTTTATCTGTCAATTCCAGAATATGGCATTGCGAGCCACTCAATTGGAATTGCCTCTGGACCTCAGGACTGAACTTGAACTCTACTTTTGTTTGTTTATGAAGCTAACATCATTTACGGCCAAATAATCAGCGGATGGAAAAATGTTTTAGCTTCATGTACACGTACCAATATCTACGCGTACAGCCCGGTGTCAATCCACTGCTGGATGAGGGCCTCTCCACTCTGTGCGGTGTGTGTGTGGGGCGGTCTAATTGACCGTGCTTCACCACGCTCGTCGCTGCTGGTCGGTGACACTGAGGAGCACGTGAAAACGCGGATGCACTCCGCGGGAATTTCATTTGCCGCGCTGCCACCAGTCGCCCTGGCACACGCTAATACGTGCGGCTATCCAGGCTCAAAGCCTGCTTAGCTTCAGAATCATGGCGGTGGCTATGCACGTTGCCCGTAATCCAGCACTGTAAGAGGCGAGGTCTGCTGGATCGTAGGCGTGGAGGTGCTATACCCTGGTTTGCCAGGAGAATACAGTACAGCAAAACAATGTGGACTCCACCTGGTCAGTCTGTATGGGACGTCGCGTTTCCCTCTCGCACGCGTGGATTCTATCCGGGTGCTGCGGGTTCCTCCCACGTGAAGTCACTCATTGATTGGCCGATAAACACCCGAACGTATATCGTGGACCGCAGAGCTTGGGCAATTGTTGGCACCGGCTCACCGCGTGGCATTCCGCTCGTCTGTGCTTCCTCCTCACGCCTCGCACTCAAATACTGGTGCGGTGCATTACAAGTTGAAATTATCATCACAGTAAAAAATATATATATTATTTTTTCCCGAACAATATTTGCACGCAAAACACAAATATATATATATACACCAATGGTTTTATGTTTGTTTCTCTCACACTTCTCTAGACTCCTTTTTTCAGGAGGGTTCTGCGCTGGAATGATTCGGTCAACATTGCACGCGAGTGTTTGAAGAACTCCGAGAAAATTCAATGCGAGTGGGTTACACTCAAAACTCTGCACAGATGGATTCAAGAAGCCACCGTTATACTACCATATGGTGGCCACCTCACATACCCTGGAATTCACAGGCAGTCTCCCAGGCAAGTGCCCGACCAGCATTAACCTTTCTTAATGTGCGAGACCGAACGAGATCGGGCGTATTAAGATACGAGGCTCCTCCTGCATTTATAAGTTGGCGTCTTTGTAAATAACACTGCGGCCTTGTGAGGAATAGATAATAGTCGACGTTTCGGGGCAATGGCCCTTTTTTATGGTTCGTCACGGGCTATTCCAAGGAGCCATTGCCCAAAAAGTATTCTAGGCGACGTTGGGGGCCACGTACCCTTCTTCAATGCGCACAAATAATTGTGAAGAAGAGCGATTATCTGAAACATCACCTGTTATATTTTTTTTCCTTTCAAGGCCACAGTGTTGTCGACGAACGTGTTCAGTGAGTGTGTGTTGTTATTTGTGCTTGTGCACCACTGCTAATGGCGCTATCACCAACTGACTGTTCTTTGGTGCATGCTTTATGAAAGCCAGGGGATTTAAAACGACCGATTGAGACGTCAAACAACACTGCCTCTTTGCAAGGGCGACCTGGGTTAATGTGGCGACCGTTGGTTCCTTAAAATGTTTCGCATGCAAGCCTGTGCCGCTAAACGCACAGCAAATGCGGTCTCACTGGAACCAGAGTGACGGTCACAATCTTACAGAAAAATTGGTCGATCGATTCAGAAGAAATGAAAATGTTTGTTGTATGAAAAGCACTTGATGTTTAATAAAATCACGAATTGAAGTAAATCAATTGATTAAAACACTTGTATTCATTAACTGCTTGGTTTGATTGTAGCGCGCTTAGGATTATGAGGGATAAGCATCTTGCTGATGTGTTTTCAGAGTAATCTTTACTCGTTGAAAATGTGCAAGAAAAAATAAAATCAATGAAATTTACCCACATTTTCAGCACGTCCCTTGAGACTCCACAATTCCCCTCTCATGCCCACAGTGCCAGGAGGGCCCTCACCACTAGAGGGAGCTCTGGAGAACCCACCTCTGCGGAGTGTTTTGGCCTACTCTTCCACTTTGGCCAGACGTCTCTTGGAAGAAGTGCGAGTACCTATACTCTACCTCGCCACACGTGAACTCCCGATCGACTGACTGTGCGCGCGGTCAGGGGGCGGAGCCAGGGCCGCGCTCGGAGCATAAAAGGAGGCGAGAGCGGGGAGCTCGAGGCTGCCGGTTCTAGGAGTGGACTCGTCTCATCGTCGCTGGCGTCTCGTCGCCGTCGTCGCTTAACGTATCCGCTAGACATTGCGCTACGAAAGATAGCAGTTGGCTGCCTCGGTCAGAGCCGTCAGTGTTAGGCGGCTAGTGTTGTGTACAGGCTAGGCTAAGCTACCGTGGAGAGTGTGTGGACGAGACCGTGGAAGTTGTGGTTAATAAGGAAGGTGACTCCTATAAACTCTGTCTCCGAATCGTTGACACTACACTTGTACCCATTTACACTGCTAGGGTGGACAGAGGCGGAGGGGAAGCGATTTAAGAAACTCACATCGTTGTTTCTAAAACTAAACTACTTGTTATTTTACCAGGCAAGGCCCACTGAGCTACACAGCTCTTTAATTACATATGATAGCTCAACCAAGTGGCCTATCGTCACGTGGAAATTTACAGCAGTAGTCAAATACTCTAAACGCATGTTGATTCTAAATGTGGAGGGAAAAACCGGAGGACCCGGAGAAAAATCCACGCGAACACGGGGAGAGAGACATGCAAACTCCAAATATACAACAGGCATCATGGTCTGGATTTAATCCACGCCCTCCTGTACACATGGCGAGGTAGTTAACATCTCACTACCGTTTCAACTTCAGCGCCAGGAGATCGATTCAAACCGGCGACCTCTGGATCGCAAGTGCTCTGTGGCCCAACCCATCACACCGTAGCAGCGTCCACAATATTGAACGTAGAGAAAAAGGTCGCAGTGCAGCCAACATGGCATGAGAAAGCATCCTGAAAGCCACAGCGAACAGACAGATGGAGCCGGGTGTTTCATTCGGCATAGCGGTGACATAGCACGCGCATGCACGCAGACGCGCACGCACGCACGCACGCACGAAAAAAGATTGCTTCTAAAATCTCCCGTTAATCTCTGAATTAGAGCACAATATTCCCAGGCTTTGCTTACATTCCCGGATGAGAGTGTGCGAGTGAGGATCCTGGCGTGAGCCGTGCGGAGAAAGTGGATCAGTGTGGACTGGAAGAAGTGGCATGGGGGATTCTATCGCCGTTCAGGCCGCGTGGAAGAGTTCACTTCGCGACTCGGACAGCTGCTCAAGGACACGAGTGTGGGCACCATCCACCCCACCCCCGCCACTTTGCCAGCCTGACATGTGTCAAGGCTCACGATTCGCACATTACAAAGAGACGTGTAATTTGTTGTGAACATGCAGTGCAATACGGATGGTGCCACTGTGCTGTAACGGTTGGCACACAGCATTTACATTCCAGAGGTGACCAGATCGGATTTTAAACCCTCAGCGCCACAGCAATTTGATGATGATGATGATGGGAGGAGTCCTGGGCTGTTGTAATGTTTTGCGGCCCCTCTTTTTACTATTAATTTCCTTTCCTTTGCTGTTCTAACAGGATGCTATATTGGGTTCGAAGCTTGCTAAACAAATGAACTTGGTGCAGTGGTTTAACCCAGAGGTCACCCACTCCATCTCGCCCAGTGCGGCAGTTGACGGTGCTAGCTTCTTACATTCCCCACCCATCCCACCCACCGCCTGTGTCCACTCAGCAGCGTCAACGGATTCACCACGGTCAGTCGATCGGCAGGTCGCGCGTGGTGGAGTAAAGCGTGGGTGCTCCCACCTCTTCCAAGGCAGCGTGGAAGCAGAGCTCTCGGGAGCTCCACCGGGCAGAGACTCGTGTTGCAAAAGTGGGTCGTGAAAAAGCACTTGCAGGGCTGCACCTTTAACCTTTGCAGGATATTCTTCGATTACGCAATAAAAACACACGGAGATGTGTGGATCACGACTGTCGATATACACGTGCAAATGTTGGGCGCGCGTGTCTATGTCAAACT